CAGGACTGTAATATGTACTTTATTTATACAACCTCAAGGAATCCTCACCACAAAATATTGATGTGGTTAAGGGAGAAAATAGCAACAATCCAGAAAGTTTAAATAACTCTCAAGTTCACATAGCAAGGGAGTATTGGAGCCCAGGCTAAATCCAGGCTCTGACTTCAGGGGCTGCATCTTCCATTAACTTTTATGTTAGTAGTTGAATGGATTAAATTCTTTAATGGCGAGACTTCCAACAGTATTATTTGAGCTGAGGAGACAATATAGATGTGCCAGAGACATGATGTAAATTGTCCTACGCGGACAAATGACCAGGACAGAGATATAGGATCCAAGTGGAGGTTCCTGGGAACAATTTGAAAAAGGTGAAAGGGCTGTCTGTATTCCTTAAAAGACAGAAAACATGAAGATTCTGAAAGAAAGGATATAAGTGATGAAAAAGAAAGTACTGTGGCTTCATTTAGGAAGATTAAGAAAAGTGCTGCCTGGATCATGATGTACTTGGTGGAGGCTCTGGGAATATTTCCTTCATGGTCTATTGGCTGTTGTGGCACTTTGATTTGGAACTGAAGTGTAATTCCAGGTAACTCAGATTAAGCAAAACAGGATTTCTCAAGAGTCAGGAAAATGAAAGAGAAATCTTTGGCACTGGTCTAAAGAAGAAGTATGAAAGGGCAAGCAAAGGGTAGCCCAAACAAAGAAATAGTATTGGTTGACCTAGAAGTGAAAGCAAGCAAAATCACCCACTAAAAGTTTGGTTATTTTGTTAATTTGTGGCAGAATGTGAATAGTGAGTCTATACTTTAATTTACCTAAAATTAGCACCCTAGATATAGAAAGATATATAGATAGAAGACAGATAGATAGATAGATAGATAGATAGATAGATAGATAGATAGATAGATATGTGCTATGGTAGCCTTTTGCATTTTGAACCTCAAATGTGTACTCTCCTACTGGAGGGTGTACTGTGGGAGAAGAGAATCAGAAGTAAGAAGGCTGAACTATGGTATGCCCTGGGCCTACTCAATGGTGAAAAGCTAAAGGCCCTCCCTCTAAGATCGAAAACAAGACAAGGATGCCTACTCTCCCCACTTTTATTGAACATACTATTGGAAGTCCAAGGCACAGCAATTAGGCAAGAAAAAAAAATAAAAGGCCTCCAAATAGAAAAAGAAGAAATAAAATTGTCACTATTTGCAGATGACATGATACTATATGTAGAAAACTCGAAAGATTCAAAAAAGAAAAAAAACTGTTAGAATAAATGAATTCAATAAAGTAGCAGGACACAAAATTAATATATAAAAGTGTGCTGTGCTTCTTTATACTTTCTTTACACTAATAACAAACTATCAGAAAGATAAATCAAGAAAACGATCCATTTACAATTGCATCAAAAAGAATAAAATATCTAGGAATAATATTCACTTAACCAAGGAGGCAAAAGACCTGTACACTGAAAACTATAAGACACTGATGAAAGAAACTGAAGAAGGCACAAATAAATGAGAAGATATTCCATGCTCACATATCGAAAGAATTAGTATTGTTAAAATGTCCATACTACCCAAAGCAATCTACAAATTCAGTGTAATCCCTATCAAAATTCCAATGGCATTTTTCACAGAACTAGAACAAACAACTCTAAAATTTGTATGAAACAACAAAAGACCCCAAATAGCCAAAGCAATCTTGAAACAAGAACAAAGCAGAGGTACTATTCTCCCCGATTTCAAACTATACTGCAAATCTACAGTAATAGAAACAGTATGGTATTGGCATAAAAAGACATAGATCAATGGAACAGAATAGAGAGTCCAGAAAAAACCCATGCATATACCGTCTATTAATTTACAACAAAGGAGGCAAGAATATACAAAGGGGAAAGAATATTTTCTTCAATAAATGGTGTTAGGAAAACTGGACAGCTACATGCAAAAGAATGAAACTGGACCACCATATACAAAAAATAACTCAAAAGGGATCAAAGATTTGAATGTAAGACCTGAAACCATAAACTCCTGGAAGAAAACACAGGCAGTAAGCTCCCAGCAATGGTTTATTTTTTGTTTTTGGATCTAACTCCAATGGCAAAGCAAATAAAAGCAAAAAATAAACAAAGGGGATTACATCAAACTAAAAGCCTTCTGCGCAGCAAAGGAAACCATTAACAAAACAAGAAGGCAACCTACTGAATGGGAAAAGGTAATTGTTTATCCAATAAGGGATTAATATCCAAAATATATAAATAACTCACACCACTCACTAACAAAAACATCTGATTAAAAAATGGGTAGAGAATCTGAATAGACATTCCTATGAGAACACATACAGATGGCCAACAGGCACATGAAAAGATGCTCAACATCATCGGGGAATGCAAATCAAACCTACAATGAGATATCACCTCACACCTGTCAGATTGGCTATTACCAAAAAGACAAGAAATAACAATTGTTGGCAAAGATGTAGAGAAAACAGAACACTCATGCACTGTTGGTAGAAATGTAAATTGGTGCAGCCACTGTGGAAAACAGTATGGAGCTTTTTCAAAAAATTAAGAAAAAGAACTATCATATGATCTAGAAATTCCACTACTGGTTATCTATCTGAAGAAAGTAAAAACATTAATCAGAAAAGATATGTTTACCTCTATGTTCATGGCATTATTTATGACAGCTAAGATATAGAAATAAGCCAAGTGTCTTATTGATGGATGAATGAATAAAGAAAATGTGGTATATATAACCAACAGAATACTACTCAGTCATAAAAAATGAAATCTTTTCATTAGCAACATGGATGGACCTTGAGGATATTATCCTAAGTGAAATAAGTCTGACAGAGAAAGATAAATATCATATGATTTCACTTATATGTGGATTCTAAAAAATAAAACAAAGTAAAACCCATATTCATACAGAAAACAGACTGGTGATTGCCAAAGGGGAGGTAGGGTGGGGTACAAAATAGGTAAAGGGGATCAAGAGGTATTAACTTCCAATTATAAAGTCATGGAGATGTAATGTATAGGAAGGGGAATACCATCAATAACATTGTACTAAATTTGTATAGTGACTGATAGTATCTAGTCTTATTGCAGTGATAATTTTTCAATACATACAAATGTTAATCACTATGCTGTACACACGAAACTAATATTTTGTCAGTTATACTTCAATAAAAAAAAAGTCCACTCATTCAGAAGCTGACATCATGAATAGTGATGATGTTCACAGTATTTAAGTGAGCAATACAACCCCTCCCACCTGTATCAGGCCACTTTACAGTGGTGCCTACTGTGATCACCCATAAGGATGCAAGTGGTTGATGACTTCATTGTGGCTTCAGTGTGGTTGTGCTCACACATCAATATATTGGAGTATGTTATTTTATTAGGTATTACTTCCCTTAATTTCTTATTTATATAAGACATTACACTTCAACTATACATCAGGTAAGTTATATAGTAGCTCTTTCATATCAAGATAATAAAGGATGCATTAAACAATATAAAAGGGGCATCAGGTGTTACAAGAAAGAAAAACTATCCTGGTTGAATTATGGTTTTAGAGAAAGCAAGTATATAGCATCATAAGTTATGATACGATTAAAGAGATGAGAAACATTGCTAGGACATGCAGATACTGTAAAGATGCTGTACATTATGGAATTATTATTTCAAGTCAAATCCACTCAAATATGTGCCTACTGGTTGGCTTATGGCCAGCAAGAGTATCATCCAAAATAAGAGATAAGTTAACTGAAGAAAAAAGTGCAGCTGAAGTTGGGCCGCTTTCCATAGAACACTGATTCTCCCCTATTATTGTGCATGAGAATAGACTAACATGTTTAGTAAAAACGTAATTCCTGGGCTCTTTCTCTAGAGATTCTGATTCAGTAGGTTTGGAGTGGGGATCGGCCACCTGAATTAACAACAGGAATCACTCTGCTCCGACGCAGCATTTCCACACATCGCTTTTCATACCAGCGTACGTATAGATCTCCCAGAGACCTACTTAAAATGCAGATCCTAATTCAACAGATCTAGGGTAAGGCCTGGTTTTCTGCATTTCTAACAAGCTTCCAGGCAATGCTGATGCTGCTGGTCCATGGACCACATTTTTAATAGCACGCTTTTGTCCGTTTCTGGAGCATGCACAGAAGGGAAGGTAGAGAACTCACCGTCAACACTGATGTTCCTTACTCCGTAAAAGTGAGACAGGCATTACTATAACTGAACAGTGTTTTCAGTGACAGTCTCATCCTACAGATCAAGGGCTGAATCATGGTAGAATGCAATGACCCACCTTGGGACATCTGGGACAGTGATGTGTTAGCTTCACCTCAAATTATGGGAATTTTTACCCATACTGTACTAAGGAATTTGCTGACACTAAATCAACTGTTCATCTGGCTCTTGGCTGCAATATTAATAACTTAGTAAAAAGTCCAAGTCCTAAACCCTGGAGATTACTGCAGAGGCTGGGGCACCTCCTTTGCATGAGAGAGAATCCACATCTGGCTATGTGTAATCATCCAGTTGTTCTAACAGTGGGGGACAGAGGCCTCAGGTAGTTCAGATCTGAGCAGAGGACTATGGAATTACCGCAAGCAGTCTGAGAATCCATGTCTACAGACAATGTTTTATATGTATGTACAATTTTTTAAATGTTTGTAGATGTCATTACAATAATTTTTTTAAAAAATAAATTTATATTAGCTGTGGAACACTGTATATTTTGTCAATTAATAGATAGTAAAAGACAATCATATATCACTTGTGGTAGTCATATTTTGACATTAAAAATATTAATGTCAAATAATATTAATGTCAAGTGGCTTGACATAGGGAAATTCAAATCCTTCAGCATTTCAGAGGATAAATGATATATATATGTCATTATTAAACATATATATTTAAAGAAAATTATGCTCAAATTCTAAATGGCCGAATGTCTCATAATTTTATAAATCAAGAAAGAAAATGCTGGTACAGAATATAACCTCAGATGTTTTAATAGAGAGATCTTATTTACTATTTACAGGATTCTCTGATGGAAGTGGGCTGGTCACTAGCCTAGTGACCCAAATGACACCAAAAAGCAAGAGCAGCTCAGGGGCCACTAAATGTTGACAGTCTTGGCTGGCTTCACATCTTCAACTTCAGAAGCTAGCCAGCGGTAAGTGCGATGACGCCTCAGCACCTCGATGGCCTTCATTTCCAGGGGTGTGGCCTGAATGCCAAGGTCTTCCAAGCCAGGCAGGTGAGGCAATATCAGGTCTGTGATGTTAACCTTTGAATAAACAAAGAACCACAGAGAGCACTGAAAATTGGCAAGGACACAAAGTGCTATTCTAGCAAGCACTTCAGCACTAGAGATGCCCTGAGTCCCATTAGAGAGACTTCACTGTTTTCAAAGAATATGTGGCAGTGTTTGATTCTTGGAACTCAGTAAAAGTAGACCGCAGAAAAAGAGTTTAGGGAAAAAAAAAAAGCAAGTTCACAAAATATTAGCTCAAAGGTGCCCAGCACTATCCATGAGCATAGGACACTGCCTATAAGTGAGTCATTCTACAGACTTAAATGGAAATAAATCTAGAGTGGAGAAGCGCAAGTCATCACTTTAAAGGAGGGTATAAGAATAAAATAGGTACTAAGGCAGAGCTAACCTATTCTCCAGTTCTCCCTGTACCTGTGTTCTGCTTCAGTTTTAACTGTTGAATTAAGAAGATAATTAGCATTTGTCCTTGCTCATTAAGAAAAAATCCATTAACCTTTGTGCTCCTGCTATACTTAATCTGGTTGACTAATGCTCAGTGTAGATCGAAAATCCAAACCTGTTTTGTCTCTGGGGAAGGAGAATGAACTATAAGACTTCCAAAGATCTCAGATTAATCATCCAAAAGCACAGAAGAGAATAAATTTGCATATAGAGCAGCATCAATCTTTTATCCTTCCACCCAACAAAGTCTGCAATTCTTTTATGAGTGCTATAAAGCAACCTCCAAACCAAATCTAAAGCCCATTCAGCCTACTGTATTAACACTTTTTCAATTATAATGTAAGAGGCACATTAATGTAAGATACACTGAAGTGTTCTGACAATCAGTTCCCCTTTCTGATCTTTCATGAACATAAAAGGAATGCCTTGAAAATGGTCTTAGCTTTCCAACCTGTCAGAGGGGAGGATAACTGCTGCCCATTCACATCTGTTCCCTAAGGGCTATTTTAGCTTTTAGGTAACATTCAGAGGACAATCTGGCCATTTCTTGTTGATAAAAGGTCAACAGGTCCTCAAAGGTATTTTTATTTTGTCCAATACAGTATTTTTTATTTTGTGTCCTCCCTAGAAACATTTCTATCTACACACAGTGGGCAATGATCAGTAAGGAATACTAGCAGGGGAGACAACAAGATCGAAAGAGCCAGAGCTCTGAAATTCAACGCACTATAAAGAGAACAGAGAGGCAGCAGGAGACTAGTCAAGAGAATAAGAAAGGAGGAGTCTACCCTCTTGGATGAGTTATTATTTCTTTTATCTTTCTGTAAGTTGAAAATTTTCAATACTATTATAAATGTTTTCATAATAAAAAGATGAGTAAAAAGGTAGGGAGAGGGACATGCTTTAAGATCTGGTATATATTTTGAGGGTTGCCAGAATCATACTTGCCTATGGTGTAGTGCTGTGCTGTCCCATACAGTAGTCAACAGCCAAATGTGGTGATTTAAGTTTAAATTAATTAAAATTAAATAAAATTCAAATATTATTAGTCAACAAGTCACATTTCAAGAGTTCAATAATCATATGTTGCTAGTAGTTATATCTTAGACATTGTAGATTACAAAACATTTCCATCATTGCAGAACGTTCTGTTGGAGAGTGCTGATTTAGATCTAAACTGGATGGGAAAGAAAGAAATCAAGGGGAATCTCTACATTTTTGACTTGAGCAACAGAGGTAATAGTGATACCATTAACTGCAATGAGAGAGGCAGGCTTGCAATTCATTTATGGACATGTTATATTTCAGAAGACTAATAATATATCTAAATTGATAAAAGAGACTGCAGCTGGGTTGGGGGAAACAGTTCAAGGCTGGAAGTAAAACTGAAGCCATGAGCTTTACAGATAGCAGCTGGAGCATGGGACTAGGTGAAGGACATTAAGAGAATGAGCAAAGATAGAAAAGAACTGAGGATAGAGACCTTGGGTCCCTCAACATTTAGAGATGGGGGGAAGAGGGTGAATCAGGAAGGCAGATCGCAAAGTATGGCCTAGTGAGAAGAGAAAAAGCAAGAGAATGTGGAGCTGGCCAGAAAAGAGATGGAAATTCAGGGTTTTAAGAAGGAGAGAGCATGTCATAGATGGAATGAGACTGAGGTCAGAGAACTGACTTGGATTTGGCAGAATTGAGATCATAGGTGACCTTGAAAAGAGCAGTTCTAGAAGAGAAATGTGAATAAAAGCCTGAATGGAGTGGGTTAAAGAAAGAATGAGGTAAGAAACTGTCAACAGCAGGTACAGACAGCTCTTCTGAGGAGTTATGATGCAAAGGGACGAACAGAATGGAAAAGGGAGGACTCTGACTTTAAAAAAACAGGAGCTCTTAAGGCATGTCTGTATGCTCATGGGAATGAACCAATGGAGAAAGAAAAGTTGATAATGTCAGAGAGAAGATAATGGAGAACCACACCCTGGGGCAGGCTGAGAGTGGATGAGTTTGAGTGCACAAGTAGAGGGGCTGACCTCAGATGGGTAACAGACAAGGAGCATGAAAACAACCAAGGAAGCAAGCAAACAAAAATCAATTCTAATTTATCTATCTCTATACTCTGGTTTCTCTTCAGATCATATAAATCTTTCACTTTCTGTTAACTTATCTGTCTCTCCAACTCTGTATCTGTTACAGAGATACTCACCCGCTCCACTTTATCCCTTGTTGTCCAGGGCTCAAATGGAGTTAATTCAAAGAGTCGTGCTATCAATCTGTACAAAGGAATAAACATGACACATGTGATAAATGTCTCCATGCCCAATATCCAAACTAACCTATAAGAACCACAGGAAGAGAGGATACTGTAGAGGCAGGAAATTCACTGAATTTTGTTGGTTTTTTTTTTTTAAGAACATTCTGGCACCACTACCTGTGATGTTACCTCCCCTTTCAAACTAAGCCAACCTGAGCACTGTAACTGCTGGCACTCTGTTCTCTACCAAAGAGACAATGAATCTTAAAAACTGAAAACTAAAATAAAGCCATCACCAACAACAAAACAAAAAATATCCAACATTCAGTGAAGTCTGAAATTCAATCTAAGCCTCAGACATGCAAATATGCTACCATTAAGGATGCAGGGCATCGAATTTCTGTCAGAAGTACCCTTGGGGCAGTGGGTGTTAAGCTAGCATACAAAGTACCCTAAGAATTCCTTGGAATCTCCAAAGAGGACTGGGGGCAAGGGAGAATATGTTCTGAGTATCACCCATCAGTACAGCCAGACTAGCTCTACTTTTATCTGATTACTTAGTGGGCCTTTATGGAAAGAGACACTGAACACAGGGTTCCACAGCTTTTTAAAAAGTAAAAAAAAAAAAAAAAAAAAAAAAAGCATTTTTCACGGGGCAAAAAAAAATAAAAAAAGAAACTGAAACCCGGGACGGATTTCCCTTCGTAGCTGGATTCGAACACAAGTCCCCCACTTTTTAAAAAAAAAAAAAAAAAAAAAAAAAAAAAAAAGCATTATTCACGTGGCATAAAAAAATGAAAAAGGAAGCTGAAGACCGGTCAGGATTTCTCTAGGAACATATAAAGCCTTGGATTCCATATGAGCTATTCCAATGGCAGAAAAAGGCACTTTACTGGGCTAACACAGCTTAATAAAAATACCCCTTACAAAGCTTCCAACTTTCTATGCTCTGGCTCTATGCTAACAGATCACTTCTGGTATCTATTTTAAAAAAATGAAAAAGGAAGCTGAAGACCGGTCAGGATTTCTCTAGGAACATATAAAGCCTTGGATTCCATATGAGCTATTCCAATGGCAGAAAAAGGCACTTTACTGGGCTAACACAGCTTAATAAAAATACCCCTTACAAAGCTTCCAACTTTCTATGCTCTGGCTCTATGCTAACAGATCACTTCTGGTATCTATTTTAGTGTCTTTGGTGGGCCATGCCATGTGCATATGCCAATTCCACGAAAACTCTCAACTGTATGCACAACCAAGAAAGTAGCTCCCTCCAATCTGGCTTACACCCTTATTCCACTGCAATGCAAACAAATGACCTCACTACCAACTCCAGTGGATACTTTTTAGTCCTTTATCTTATTTGACATTTCTCCAGCATTTCACTCCACAAATATTAACAGAGTGCTTCTCCAAGTGTTCACGATACACATGTGAACAAATAGCAATTTTCCCCTCCTTAAAATGATCCCCTTCCTTTAGTATCTAGGCTTCCAAATTCTCTTCATTTTTCACTTAAACATTTGATAACTCTTTCACCCTCTCTGATAAATTTATCTTACACTGCTGGTCCCTTAAATGGAAGTATCCCTCACACTCCATCCTCAGCCTTCCTCTTCCACTCACTATGAGGAAGTAGACAGCCTGAAAATAGAACACTCTCGGTATGTTATCATCATACTGCATTCTAATTGTCTATTTTTCTGTTACCTCTGTTAGAGGGTTTACTGTAACATCTCGAGTCCCTAGTGCATTGCCTATGGCATAGTAGGCATTCAATAAATGTTTGTTGAATGAATGAATGAAAAAATCATATGAAGTGAACTGCCATGCTGGTTTATAAATCAATCTCTGGCAAACTGGATGTGAAAGTATCCCTGACCAGACCACTAGTGTGTGGCATAATTCTGAGATTCTAAATCTACAAAGGGAAGAAGTGAACCAAGAAGCAGGAAAAGAAGATAAGGCAACCAAAGGCAAACTCTGAATCAACTTAGGTCCTTCTCTCAACTGCATGACCAGACTGGTTTAACAAAAAAGGATCCCTTTGCCATTTCTAGGTGAGTGCTATGAAACAGGGGGAAACCTGAAAGCTCCTTTACTCAATCTGCCAAGCAAGATCCTTCTCCAAATTAAAACTTAGTAGTTTTTAATTGGAGAATTTGAAGAACTGCAGATTTAACCTCTCAACACACACTGTTTTTCTCATCCACAATAATCTACATTTCTCTTTCTGGTTTTTTCCTAGACTAACATCAAGACATCATGGGCACATCCTAGCTAGAGATTCAGAGACTGCACTGTACCAGACATACTCACTTACTCCCTAAGTGAGAGCATCACCAACAAATGTATCAAGTTAGCTCTATATTAGAAGGCACAAAAAGAAGGGCTATACTTACCGAAAGGCAAAATGTGGCAAAGGGTATGGAAGGAAGGGCCTGTGAGCCACAGCAAAAGCATACTGCACCAGGTCATAAAGGAGGTACCGATTAGGCCTACCAAAAGAAAATTCAGTTATTCAAATTATTTGCTCCTACAAATTTTTTTTAATTTGACAAAAAAATGTCATTTTTCTTTTGAAAATGAATACATATGCACTACAGTAAATACAAATTAGCACAAAGAAAAATCATCACAATCTCAACAAAGATAGTTTATACATTTAACAAATATCCTTCTCATTGCCTTACATATACATTTTTGTTTCTATAAATGTAAGATTACACAGTTCATCCTATTCTGTAATGACTTTTTCATCTGACATTAAATCACAATCATCTTTCCATGTCATTAAATATAATATTTAGTGCATGTTTAATGGCTGCACATATTGTACTGCACGTAATCCTATTTTACCAATTCCTAGTTTTGGATATTTAAGCTATTAAAAATATTTTTCTTTTATAAAACAATGCTTTAATAAACATTATTGTAGTAGATACTTATACTTATCCATAATTATGTATTTATAATACATTCTAGGAGTAGAACTGGCTCATCGTACATTTTGAAATTTTAAGGCTTTTATTGAATACTTCCAAACTGTCTTCTAAAATGGTTATATCAATTTGCATAAAATGCTAGTAGCCCCCTCACCAAAAAAGTTTAGTCATAAAAAATAAACAAAATTTTGCCAATGTGCCTCGTAAAAAGATGCCTCAATGTTTTAATTAGCATTAATTTAATACTAAATATTATTTTTTTCTTCACATATTTTTGGCCATTTACACTTCTTTCTTTTCTCTCTTTCCTCCTGGTGTCCCTGTCTATAAGAATGATTTGTAAGAGTTCTTTATATTTTAATGATACAGTTGGAAAAATCTTTTATTGTTTGTACTTTACCTTTTAATGTTTAGGTGTTTTGCAGCATACAAACATTTCAATCAATCAAAACTACTGATTTCTTTTACTTTATGATTTGGTTTCATATTTAGAAAATCCCTTTATAGTCACCAGTGACATAACTTTCCACATATTTTTACTAATGCTTTTGGTTTCTTTAATCCATAAAATAAGTTCCTTTTGAAACAAATTTTTGTATTGTTGTAAGGTAAAGACGTAACATCATTTACTGAATCCCCCTATAGTTTTACATGAGATTGTTTCTCGACTTTCTATTCTATTCCATTAATCTGAACAGTTTTGTACCTGTATAAGCTAGCTTTAATAATTACTAATGCTTATAATACATTTTAATACCTCTTCACTTACTTTCTTAATTCGTTTTCCTAATTCAGCCTGTGATAGCTGAGAGCTAAATGAAAGTAATTTAGTGAGAACCTCATCATTCTAACATTTTCGCCCAAACAAAACAAAACAAACACAAAAATATCAACTAGGGGAAATATCAGACAAAGCCCTCAAATAGCTTCCTTCAAGTTTCAGAAGGGTGTGTAAAGATAAGTGCAGGGCAGATAATGTATGCTGTGCCAAAGAACAATCTGTAGTCTTTATGATGACAAGCAATACTGGTATGGTAGGTAAACTAATTATATGTCACATAACTGCCCTCCAGCTGTTCTAAAGCACTTTGTGTTCCATTAACTATGACTCAAAAACTGGTTTTAGATGCCCCTAGTCACAGAGAAAGGAATTTACCAATATCTAGGACAATGAAGCCTGTGTCCTTCCAAGCTTAGTTTTCATGGTCTATACCAGGACAGCAAAACCCCTACTCTGGTTAACCCAAGTATCTGCCTTCTCTGTGCCTGAACACCCCCAGCAAAAGGAGTTATAGGGAAAGTACAACTGGGCTAACTGGCTTCATCTTCTGTTTTTGATCACTACTTTCAAATGAAAAACTCAGTTCTGCTCTGCAATCCTATTATTCTCTCCTAGGAGTACTCTTTTCCTGTTCTCCCAAAGAGTACTTCCTATCTTTTTCTCTGTTCTTAGATTTTCCATATACCTACCTGATCCACCCCATTCTGCCTTTTAGCTGACGATCTCACTTGTCTTTATCATTTTCTTAATGATACCTCTTTGGAGGTACGAAAGTTTTCAATTTTGATGAAGCCTAACTAAAGGTCTAGGAGATTATTTATTTTTCTTCCAAAAGTTTAGTTTTACTACTTACATTTAGGTCTCAGATTTATTTTGAATTAATTTTTTCATGATGGTATAAAATAAGGCTCAATGTTCATTTTTTTGCATTTGGATACCCCAGTATTATTTGTTAAAAAGACTACCTTTTCCCCTTTGAGGCATTATGGCACATTTGTCAAAAATCAACTGTCCATAAATATAAAGGTTTATTTCTGGGCTATCAAGTCTGTTTATTGATCTATATGTCCATTCTTATGCCAGTACCAAGCTTGATAATGGTAACTTCAGAGTAAGTTTTGAAATTGGGAAGCTTAACTGCTACAACCTTATTCTTCTTTGTCAAAATGGTTTCAGCTATTGTGGGCCTTTTGCATATTATAAATTTAGAACCAAATTGTCAATTTTTGCTAAAAATCTTATTTTGATATGATTAAGTTGAAATACAGATCAATTTGGGGAAAACTGCTATTTTTATACTACTGACTCTTCAAAACCATGGACACGGGATGTCTTTCCATTTCTTTAAGTCTTCTTTAATTTCCCTCAGTGTACAGGTCTTATACTTCTCTTGTTAAATTTATACCTAAGTATTTTATTCTTTTTTATGCTATTGTGATTAAAATAATTTTCTTAATTTGATTTTTAGATTGTTCATTTGCTAACATATGGAAATTGATTTTTACATGTCAATCTTGTACCTTGTCATCTTGTTGAACTTGTTTACTAGTTCTCATCATTGTATGTGTGCATCAAAAGGTATTTTATGAATGAATGATATATAGAATGAACCGACATCATGTAATTAATAACTATGCAAAACCTAGAAGCCTCTGCCTTAGCCTCAAAGTGTCAGGGAGACAAGCAAAGTTTTCCCCTGGAGCTGAAGAGACAAAAAGAGAAGTGTAGATACATTTTTACAATTTCACAAGGATAAATGCCTACACTGCCATGTCTAGAGTAACTTGACCCATCACTGTGCCAAACAAATAGGACTTACTAACGCCTAGCAAAGAAACTGGAGTTGCTGGGCTAAACGAAAGAAGAAAATGGCTAACTCATCTCAGAGCTATTCCCACTGAGTAGTAGTAAAGGTCATAAAGCCATTTCTGTTCATTTAATCCTTGGAAACATGTCTAAGCACCTCTTGACTAAAGCCTGATGTCTTTTCAGTGTAGGGTTTTATGAAACCTGTGGTGAACTCAATTTTTTGTGACTAACTTTCCTAGGGTATATAACTGATTGCATGTTAATGTACCGAATTGAGAACTCAAAGAAAGACATGTGTCTTGCAGCAGCTAGTTGACATGGAAACACAATATAATTTTTTTGCATATGCACACACAAATTTTACTAAATTTGTAATAATAGTGAAACATAATAATGTATAGATTCATAATCCTGGAAATAAATATTATGCATCTGGCTTAGAGAGAAAGTGTCTCTTTTTTTAGAAGCAAATATTTCTTAGAAATTAGGCTATGCCTGAATTGTTGAATTAGATTCCCACATTTCACAGAACATTGGGTATCATTAGTTTCTTTCACAGAATGACAGGGTTCTGAGCCAATTATTAGGTGGATTTGGAACTTTTAGATTTGGTAGACTGAGTCTTAGTTTTTCAGTTTTAGTTAATTCAGTAAAAAGGTCCTAAACCTAGCTGTGACATAATTTAACAATTTCAGGTAAGGCACCTCGCTTAACTGTGTCCTATTTTTTCTGGAGAGCAAATTTCAACAAAGAGAGCATGTAACAAAACATCAGTCTTGCACGGCATTAGTATTGTATCCTAAACCAGCCATTTCCAACCTTTTGGAGGCATTAAGGTACTCTAACAAAATTAATTTGATTTTGCAACTATACTGAATCCCTAAAAGTGTTTTGTTTGTGTTTTAGAAATTATAGCAATATAATTTTATAATGTATTATAAACATCACTGGCAGAGTATAAAATCATACTTGTAGGTCACTGGACTAAGTCTATATAATAGTCTAGGGCAGAGGTTCTCAGACTTTGGTGAGAGAAAAACCACTGATTAAAGCAGATTCTCAGGTTCCCTCATATTCTGATTTCACAAAATCATTCAGGAGATTCTGATAATGGTGGCCTTTGGACAGCTGTTTGAGACACACTGGCCTAAGGTCTAAGGGAATAAGGTTTCTGGAATAAATACAGTGGAAGAAAAACACTATAAAAATGTAACAAATAAATCTGTTAGTGATATATTTAGAAATTATTGTTATTGTAAATCATTATGATTCCTTCATTTTAACAAGTACCACAATTTTAAAGTCAAACTCTAGCCACCTACCCAACAAAGGCAAAAGATTTCCCTCTGGCATCTGGCTCCTTAATTGCATTAATGATTCCTTTGGATACATCTACAACCTATAAGAAATTATAACATGTGTTTAAGTAATTGTTGGGTTGGCGGGGGAGAGAGAGAGGGAGAGAAAGGGAAGAAAGGAAAGAGGGATTGAGGGAGGGAGAGAAGAACGAAGGGAAAGCAGGTCACATCAATCGCACACACACACACAAGACCATAAAAAAATTAAGATAATGGCATTGCCTGTCTTCAGAAAGCTTCTTCGAGGACCCAGTTCCCAGGAGCTCAAATAATCTCCACATTGGAGGGTTCACATAAATATTTTCTCCAGTCAGAATGTGTTTATCTTCAGATGGCTGCCAAGGCCTTCTGATTTACCTTTGCCCATTATCTCTCCAATCTCATTCCTTATGGTTCCTAATGCTGTTACTCAGCTATCACAAACTGTTAGGCTGAACTACATGGAATTGCCAATATTATACTACTTTGACTTTTGAAAATAATTTTATATGTTTGTAGACTCCATGGTTTTCAACTGGGTTGACTTTGGCCCCCAGGGGAATTTGGCAAATGCCTAGAGATATTT